AAAAGTCGACCTCATAGCTCTAAAACAAATTTACAATTCCATCATAGACTTTAAGCAAAGCAAAATTAGTGTGATTCAAATCAGTGAAGTTGGGCTTGCTCTTTAGTTAGGATTAGGCTTGAGATGGAAAGACACTCGTGAAGGTGGCATTTGAGCAGGTTTTTAAGAACAGTAAGGTGAGAAGCTAGGCATATAGATGTGAGAATATAAAAAGAAGAATGAAAGTTAAGACAGGGAGCAGCCACATAAGAATGGAACAAATATTTGAACAAAAAAAGAGCCGTTTGGGTGGCTAATGTGGGGTAGGGACCTAGTTGCAGACCCTTTGGGCTACTGGGCCAAGGGATGAGTAGAAACATTTGAAGATGTGTCAGTACAATAATAGGATGCTATTACTTTTAATTGGTCTTAACTATGGGAATATTTAAATAAGTTAGAAAAGGAAAAAAAAATAAGATGGAAAGCCAAGGAGGTTGCTTCTCTTCATTTGATTTATTTACTACTGTGCTGCCAGGACCTAGACCATAGCTGATTCTCTGTCAGTGTCACAGAATGAATGTATAGTATATGATGAATGGCCACAGAGGGGCATCCCTTCAGAAAGGTGTAGAAAATGGTCCAGACCAGGTGCTCCATAGAAACTAGCAACTGATGCCATGAGCTGGAGAGCTACATGTGGCTAAGAGGGTCCCAGAGAAAGGTACCAGACTATAAAAGAGAAAGACAGGGGGAGCAGGCTAAGGCTGTGCCTTTCCTGTTACTGTAAATGGCTGTTGGAGGGCGCACACTGAGAGGAGGTGACAGAAAGGGGATTTGGTAGAATATTTTGTACCATAAGCCAAAAGGCAGAGGCAAGAGTTGCTCATTTCTACATGTCCAGCTCATAAATAATTATTTTAGAGTTTTAAATTGAACCTTATTTTGAAGCAGACTTACTTTGAAGTTACCTGGTGTTAAATAAAAGCATTTCTATCTTTTTTAATTTATTTATTTTTTATTAATTACAGTTTATTCACTTTGGATCCCAGCTGTAGCCCACTCCCTCATTCCCTCCCAATCCCAGCTTCCCTCCTTCTTATCCTCCCATGCCCCTCCCTAAATCCACTCATAGGGGAAGTCCTCCTCCCCTTCCCTCTGACCCTAGCCTATCAGGTCTCATCAGAACTGGCTGCATTGTCTTACTCTGTGGCCTGGTAACGCTGCCCCCGCCCCCTCAGGGGGAGGTGATCAAAGAGCCAACCACTGAGTTCATGTCAGAGATAGTCCCTATTCCCCTTACTAGGGAACCCACTTGGAAACTGAGCTGCCATGGGCTACGTCTGTGCAGGGGTTCTTGGTTATCTCCATGCATGGTCCTTGGTTGGAGTATCTGTCTCAGAAAAGACCCCTTTGTGCATGGCTATCTTAATAGGAATGTATGGATTACTTTTGGGGGAGCAAGGTCCAAGCAAGCAAATGAAGTGTGTCCCAGAAGTGGGTTAGCTGCAGAGCACTTGCAGGAGGATGTTTGCATATTCTGGAGTGTGACACCCACTTCCTTTAGGCTTCTTATTACTAAAACCTCGAGCTAAATTTTAGTATGTTACACATAGTTGTTAAGCGCCAGGATAATTATATCACAAAAAGATGTTTGCTTTATGAATCCATTTAATTCCATTTCTTTATTAGTGACCTACCCTGGGATGTTTTAGGTTATTGTTTTGTTTTGTTTCCAGACAACTTTTGTGGAACTGACTTTTCCTAAAGCAGGCACATAGATCAATTGTTTTTTTAAAAAAATACAATATAAGCTCAAAAAATAGGCATTGTTTTCTTCCTACGTTATGGCTCCAAAAGTCATTCTGAGCCTTTTACTAGTGTTTACTACACCAACAAACTGCAGGACTGAATGTTATGTTTTCATTTTGATTAACTTGACTGCAGTTGTTTTTTGGGGTGCCACTTTAGAGCCCACTGTGGAATAAAATTAAAACAATCTTTATGATACAATTCACTTGCAGAAAATGGCATTTTTGTTTTATTCCTGAGTGGCATTGTGCTCTCCCCCTGAGTTTCCCATATGGGCCGCAGGGCTCTGTTTTCTTTTTCCACCAATGCATCTTCTGTAATAACTCCACAGATTCATATTCCTGGAGTGGTGGTATTTGTTCCCGGGCTCCTGGAAGGCTCCTGTCTCCTCCTCTCTTCCAAGCCCAGCTGTCTATCACAGGGAAGCCCAGCAGCTCTGTTCTCCCATTACCATTTCCTTCTCTTTCTTCATCTCTGCTGAAGTTCCAGGCCCAGCCTAGATTGCTTATCTCTTTCACACAGCATGGGCCTTGTGTTCCCTCCCCCGAAATTACACATTATTGTGGGCTTCCTAAAGAAAGAACCAAGTCCTTTTTTTTTGGTTTGTTTGTTTGTTTCTACCAACTCTTCCCTTGCCTGCTCACGGAAATGAAAAAGCAGTACAAAATAAAGTGGGTACAAGCATCATGGAGCATGTGCACCAGCATACCTACACACACAAAATAAATAAAAAAGGAAATAAAGGTTTGTTGGACAAATGAATAAAGAATATTTTGAAATATAAAAAGCATGCAGACAGCCCCCCTCAGACATTCATGACCTAATACTTTCATGATCCCTTTAATTAAGTGTGTGTCTTCTTTCTGGAGCACCTCTCATATGATTCATTGTAGGTGACATTATTCACTGTTCTTGATGGCATTGGCTGTCTCCTCCCCACTGGATACTGAGGACTTGTTGTTGTTGCTGTGCACTGATTTATGGGTCCTAAATGCTCAGAAGCATGCTTGTAGTGGTAGAGTAAGTGAGTGCAACTGGAAGCCTAGGACCAGCATCTTTCTGTTTCCTGGGTTACTGCCAGTGGTTTTACAGGTAAAGGCCAATGTATGGCAGAATATCAGGAAGAAATGGAAAGTCTTCAAAATACGATTCTCCCACTTACTAGCTATACAACTCCAAACAAACTACTTGAGTGCTCTGAAGATCATTCCCTACCCTATTAAAGAATAGCATGACCTAAAATTACAATGTTGGATTACCATTTCAGAAAAAAAAAAAAAAAGTGAATGGCTGAAGGATCACTCATAATAGATCAGGCTTGGCCATCATAATAGATCACACTTGGCCACGATGCCCTTCGTTCTCCACCCCTGTGTGCTCTCTGGGAAGCAAGGGTTGTGTTGCCCATCTTGCCAGGAAGAAGCAAAGGTCCTACCTGAGACCACACAATAGAGGTGGCCCAGTGGTGCTAGAGAGCAGGTCTGCTGAACATACCTGCTGCGTGCTCAGCTCTTCTGAGAGCAGATGTATTGCTTAACGCCTCCTCTGGAGCGGAGCTTCGAAAGCCTTCCTTCCTGCCTTAATATGCCCGAGGAATGCAAAGGGCTGATGAGTGCCCCAGGAGACGTTATGATGAAATAGCTCAGTCCTCCCAAAGCATGAGGTGCAGGGAGTCTGCCATGAATCAGACCTCCCATCCTGTTGATGAACACTACCTCCAGGTCATTCCTACCTCTAAATAAAGTTTTCAAATCTCTTTTCTACCCCCAGAGACAAAATACTCTTTCATTAAAACTGTTTCAGAGACCATCATGGTATTGGTTTAGAAGCCAGTTAGCTGGTTATGGTTGGAACAACCAAGCAGTCATTGCTGCCTTCATTAAGGACTAGAAAAGTGCTGAATCTTACCATTTTAAGGAGATCTGCAAATGCAATTTCAAACATACAATTACATCACTAATAACTCTTAATTACTGTAGTAAAGTTAACATAAAAAATGAGGAAGGCTGTCTTCCCTATGAATTAACCTTACCAGATGTTTTCATTGAGCATTTAAAATGACTAACCCAGAATTAATGGGCTGGATTTTGTTGGCATCTGAAAAACATCTTTTACATTTCAAGGAGTGGATTTACCTTTTGAAATAGTTTGTCATCATTTAGAAGGCTAAAAAGTTTCTTCTGAGACTATTAAAATGAGAAATAATTTCATCTGGATACTATAAAGCTTCATTACACTTAATTGATTGGGAGGGTTGATTGGAGGATTGGTGGCAGGCCGGAGAGAACTGGCTGATGGGCACATGGAACTTAAAAGGAAGTACATGTGTTTAGTGTCAAGCACTCCTTCAACGGACTGTTTGTTTTTTATGGTTTTATTGTAGTGTGTAAGAGCTAAGCTTTGGCACCCTCTTCATCTACGTCTGAACCTACTTTTCTGTTCATTAAGCCTGTGAGATTAGACACACCATATCACATCATTTTGGACCTTGGTTTTCCTCACCTGGGAAGGAGCAATGCCTTCTTAGTGATGTCATATTACTACAGGCAGCGACATAAAACATCATCTGAGTGGTGCTTGCTCTAGGCACTGGGTGGCGTTTGTCATCAAGCCACAGCCATGTAGGTATGATTATGTATGTGATGCTACATTGCCCAGTAAGTCGAATACGTCTATAGAGAACCCTATGCATAGTTTTCAACTTGAATGGAGACCTCTTTTTTCTTTATTTCTTTTCTTTTTTTTTTTTTTCCAATTCAAGGAATTGATACTGTGTTATGAACTCCTCAGTTTGTTCATAAGTAAAGGAGGGGGTGCTAGAGGATAATGCCACCTTTTTCCCTTAAGTTAAACAGATTGATGATGTTGCTGTTTTGAGAAATGGGGACAACTAAACCCTAAAGCCTTGTGGTCTAGACTATCATGACCTCTAGGAACACCCAGAGTGCCGCCATATTTTTGAGACAAGATCTTTCACTGAACCTGGGGACTGCTGATTGGCTAGACTGGCTGGTCAGTAAACACCAGCATTCTCCTGCCTCTGCCTCAATCCCCAGTGCTGAGGATTGAACTTAGGTCCTAGTTCTTGTCCCTATTTCTGGACTATGCCACCTCCCCAAAGCCATCCAAGTTATAGTAAAGAAATTTCGTTGTGGGATGTGGAGTAAGCAGATCTGAATTCCAGCTTTCTCACGTGCAGTCGTGTTTTCTAGGAGAGTGCGTGGAAGGGCTGCGGGAGAATGACTACGTGCTGATCCACTCCTGCCGGCAGTGGACCACCATCACTGCCCATAGCCTGGAAGAAGGTCACTATGTCATTGGGCCAAAGATCGAGATCCCCGTTCATTATGCAGGTAAGACTCAGCAAGACTAACAGCAGGAACTAGGAACTGCCTATCAGCTAGAGGGCATGCTGACTTAAAGGAATGAAACGCTTCTGTATACTTATTTTGTATCTGTTGCAGCTCCATTTTGTCGCAGATACTTGTAATTAAAGAAGTTGGGTGTTTAGAAGGTGAAAATTTTACTCTGAGAATTCCTCTGTGATCTTGGAATTGGAGCACTACATGTAGCCAATTCCTGAGTTCCACAGCCTTGTGCCTCTGACTAAGCCAAGTACAATCTGAGCATCGCTTTTGTGAATACTAGGAGGTAGCAACTCTGTAAGGTTCCATTGCACAAGAGGACACTGCACCCTGGTTTTAAAAGTATCTGTTTAGAAGTTCAGATACCTGGACCTGCCTCTCCTCTCAATTCATCTTTAGAATACAGCAGCAGCATGACCTCATTGCTCTAGTTAAATGTAGATGATGGCCACCTTGTCCCCTTCCTTGGAATACCATTCAGTTCAGGGATGTCATTGAACTCAGTTTTGTTGAGTGAGTTCTATGGTCAGAACTGAACTTGTGATATATTTGCTTCAATAAATTTTCAGTAGGGGAAGCTTATAAATCAGTTTTTAAAAACCAAACATGTCAACATTCACTACCTTCTGGTTCTACAGTTCATTTTATAGTTATTGACTTCTTATATGTTATTCTACTTTTCATGAAGTTATTGCAGGATATTTTAACCAACCAACTGGGTTAGATAGACCTAGACTGCTGTTTTGGCTTTGACAGACCTGTCTACAATGCTTGGCAGATTATTTATTTGAAAACAGAATCTTGCTGTACCCTAGAATAGTAGTAAATAGTATTTGTTCAATCTGTATTTAGGGAATAAATAAATGCTTTGGTAGCCTGTTTGATTCTTAGACTTCTTCGGCTGGTCACTAAACTTAAAAAAGCCCTCTCAAAAATATTAAAGAAAAGAGACATTCTGTGGCCTAAAACACCGAACTTTATACCTATGCTAACTACTTAGTTATAGGAGTACCCTCTATAGGAAGAGCGGGAGGTGGTGTGTTTACCAGGTTAGGCCCAGGCCACTGGAGCAGTGCTCATATGTGTGGGGAATTTCACAAGCCTCCATGTTGCCCAGATTCCCCTCTAAGAGCTTCCACTAGCAACACGATCTACTTTATTTTCAGTAGGCTCAGACTCTGGTTTCTCTTTATAGAAAACTAAAAAATAAATTTCCATCTTGTATGTTTTTACCTGGGCTGTGTTCTATCTGTTCACTTGAATTTTAGGAGTTTCTACAAAACATGGAGATTGTCTCTGATCAGTCTTCCCAGAGGACTGCTTTCAATGGGTCATTTCCACGGATCTCAATGGAGACCCGTTTTTGCCTTGTCTTGGACCTGCGATGCTCTAGCCTGTTTCTCCTACTTCCTGTTTCTCCAATCTTCCTACTCTAAAGAGGGGACGCTCTACTGGAGCCGGGTCAGTCACCTCCCTGTCCCTCACTACACTGAATACTTTTCCATTGGCTCCACCCACCCTGCTGGTGATGCCTCCTTCAGCCATGCAGCTTCTCTGGTAGTGAGGGCCCTCTTCTGTCACAGACTGGCTCTGGATACGCTTGCTGCATGTCACCTTCACTTGGTACATGCCATCATTCTTTATTCCATTGCCACTTTCCTTGCTCACATACACCTTCCTTCGCTGACCAGTTGGTCTGTATATTCCTTAACAAATAAGGTAGATATGAAAAATCTCTTGTTGGGCAGTGGTGTTACACATCTTTTTGTGTGTGTGTGTGTTTTTTTTAACTTTTATTAATTACACTTTATTCACTTTGTATCCCCCCATAAACCTCTACCTCCTCCCTCCTACTCTCACCTTCCCTCCCCCTTCTTCATGCATGCCCCTCCCCAAGTCCATTGATAGGGGAGGTCCCCCTCTCCTTCCTTCTGATCTTAGTCTATCAGATCTCATCAGGAGTGGCTGCATTGTTATCTTCTGTTGCCTGGTAAGGCTGTTCCCCCCTCAGGAGGAGGTGATCAAAGAGCAGACCAATCAGTTTATGTCAGAGGCAGTCCCTCTTCCCATTACTATGGAACCCACTTGAACTGCCATGGGCTACATCTGTGCAGGGGTTCTAGGTTATCTCCATGCATGGCACTTTGTTGGAGTATGAGTCCCTGGAAAGACCCCTGTGTTCAAATTTTTTGGTTCTGTTGCTCTCCTTGTGGAGTTCCTGTCCTCTCCAGATCTTACTATTTCCCTCTTCTTTCATAAGATTCCATGCACTCTGCCCAGCAGTTGGCCATAAGTCTCAGCATCTGCTTTGATAGTCTTCAGGGCAGAGCCTTTCAGAGGCCCTCTGTGGCAAGTTCCTAACTTGTTTCCTGTTTTCTTCTTCTTCTGATGTCCATCCTGTTTTCCTTTCAGGATGGGAATTGAGCATTTTAGTCAGGGTCCTCCCTCTTGATTAGTTTCTTTAGATATACAGATTGTAGTAGGTTTATCCTATATTATATGTCTATATGAGTGAATATATACCATGTGTCTTTCTGCTTCTGGGACAGCTCACTCAAAATGATCCTTTCCAGTTCCCACCACTTACCTGCAAATTTCATTATTTTCTTATTTTTCATTGCTGAGTAATATTCCATTGTGTAGATGTAGGTGGTACATGTCTTTAATCCCACCACTCGGGAGGCAGAGGCAGGTGGATTTCCGAGTTCAAGGCCAACGGATCTACAAAAGGATGTTCAAGAAAGCTAGGGCTACACAAAGAAACTCTGTCTCAAAAAAAACAGAAAAAAAGATCTTTTGAGCATACTTTCCATCAGTCTACAGCTGATAAACCTCTTTGTGCAGATGGTATCTAATGCAGGGGTTGCAGTCTTGGGTACACAGTGGAATCAAATAGCAGCTGGTTCAGGAAAGACTGGTTGCTGCATTCTGCCTGCACAGATTCTACTTCAGTTGGTCTCAATAATTGTTTAGGTCTCAATGGTTGCATAAGAGTGGCACCAGGATTTTCAGGGTTTCTCCATGGGTACAAACAATTAAAGTTGGGGAAGGGCTTCCAGTGCCAAATGATAATATCCCTTCCCCCCCAAAAAACAGACAGTAGACTCTTGAGCTTATGCTTTTATATTAATAGCCATCCATCTTTCCCTGGGAAGAAAGGTATATGGCATGTTCTCTTGTATGAGGAATGGTGATGCCAGTGATGGGGATGGTCCTGTAAAGCCACATATTGCAAAGACATGAATTATCTTTCATGAAACAGAACTGCCAAGGCTAAGTAAAGAAGTGGGGACGCTAAGGTCGTACCACTCTGCATTAACATATAGAAAACAAATTAAAGAAAGAGAACCCTGAAATGAGGCCAAATGCTTTATGAGGTCGATTACCATTAGAAGGAACAGGGGCAGGTGGCGAGTGCCAGTCTCAGTTTTCTGAGCTGTTTTTCTCGAGTTGCTTCAACAAGAAGCTTGAGTAGGAGCTTTGAGGCCCAGGTAGATATTACCAATTTTTTGTTTTCGGATTCACATCTTTTGACTAAGGGATTTGCATCTCAGAGTTTACAGGCACAGGGCCAGCTCTATTGTCTCTTGGTAGAACATTTGCATCAAGTGTGTACAGCCATGACTATAATCCCCAGTACTGCAAAGGAAAAAAAAAGCTTACAAAGACAAATTTTAGTGGGTTTTTTTGGTTATGTTATACAACTAAGATTTATTATTTTTTTTATTATGATCACCTCAGTGGTTTTAGTGGCATGTTTATAAACTGTTTTCTTAGTTTTTTAGGCAAAGTTTCACTGTTTCCCAGGCTTATCTCAAACTCCTGGGCCCAAGCCATCCTCCTGTCTCAGCCTACACAAATATCTGGGGTTATATGCATGTGTCATCAAGCTTAGATCGCCGTGGCCTATGGTTTGTTTCCAAGAAGAGATTTATTAGGAAGTGCAGTCCTCAGAAGAAAGAGCATTAAAGTGCAGTGGGGGAGCAAAGGCTGTCACCTTCATTGTTCTTGCTTATGTGAGCTCTGGCTGTAATTAGTGGAGGATGCATTTACCCAGGCATGCATTACTATTTGATTATTAGCTTCAGGATTTCATCTAAGTTGGATTCATCTTTCATTCCTGGGGACGCTTAGTAATTAGTTCACAAACAACTTTGGCACAGCAGCAGTGGCACAGCCCACCAGCTCCATGATCATCTTGTTTGATTTCTGCCACTTCCTCATTCTCTGTATTATTTGGACAAATCCTAGTTTCTTAGTGTTTTGGTAAGATAACTCTGTCTTACCTTTCTTCCCAGGAAACCAGGAGGCTATGTGAACGAAATGCCTTTCAGACTGCTTAGTCCTTTCTGGGCACTCCACCGACATTAGCGATCGGGATCACCACAGTGACTTGACATGTTTCTGAGCTCCTAGCTCCTGTCTTGCACTAATGAAAAGATGAGTTGGTTTTCTGGTCATTGACAGCAGATGAACACTGACACCCCTCAAGGTTGTTCTGGCTGCTGTGCATACTTTGGTTTTGCTGATCTGTGTGTGAGTGAGTCATTGTCTGTTTAGTTTTGCTTTTTTAAAATAATTTTGTCTTGAGAACTTCATACATGAGCCCTGCATCTATATCGCTCTTGCCCTTCTTCCCCCTTCAACTCTTCTTCCCATGTATCCCCTCCCAAATTAATGCTCCCACCTTTAGTTATCACTACATGTATAAACATGTGAATGTCTGTGTATGTGTGCACGTGTAAATGTTCAACATATGAATCCATTTCACATTGCTCCTATGTCCATGCATTCAGAGCTAACCTTGGACAACCTCGGTGGGAGCTTGTTCCTAGAAGAGACTGTGTTTGCCTCTCTCGGCAGCTCTTGGCCATCTGTAGCTCCTCATCTGTGGCTGATGAAGAATTTGCCCCATCCACGTTGGCATGTTATCTGGTATTGGCATTATTGTTGGCCTTCTTTGGAGAATCATATTTTGAGAGTTCATG